GACACCGGGAGAGACACCGGGAGGGGAACCGGGAGAGACACCGGGAGAGACACCGGGAGAGACACTGGGAGGGGAACCGGGAGAGACACCGGGAGAGACACCGGGAGAGACACCGGGAGAGACACTGGGAGGGGAACCGGGAGAGACACCGGGAGCGACACCGGGAGCGACACCGGGAACGGCACCGGGAACGGCACCGGGAGCGACACTGGGAAGGTCACCGGGAACGACACTGGGAGGGGAACCGGGAGAGACACCGGGAACAGCACCGGGAGCGGCACCGGGAACGACACCCGGAGCGACAGCGGGAGCGACACCGGGAACAGCACCGGGAACGGCACCGGGAACAGCACCGGGAACGGCACCGGGAGCGGTACCGGGAGCAGCCCCGGGACCATGCTGTGGCGCAGACCGGCCGCGCTCGTTTCGCTGCTGAGGGCGGCGGGGGGCGGCCGCCGGTACCGGGAGCCCGGGGCGGGGGCGCGGCTCCGGGCGCTCTGCTCCGCGGCCCCGCCGCAGCCGGTGGTCGCCGCCACGGAGCCGTTCCCGGTGGAGCTGCAGGAGGGGAAAACCTACAGCTGGTGCGCCTGCGGGCACAGCAAGAACCAGGTCCGGAGAACCGGGAGAACCGGGGGGGTTCGGGACAACCGGGAGAACCGGGGGGGTCTGGGAGAACCGGGAGAACCGGGGGGGTCTGGGAGAACCGGGGAATCCAGGAGAACAGGGGGATCCAGGAGAACCGGGAGAACCAGGGGATGTGGGAGAACGGGGGGATCCGGGAGAACGGGGGGATCCGGGAGAACCGGGAGAACCGGGGGGGTTCGGGACAACCGGGAGAACCGGGGGATGTAGGAGAACCGGGGGGGTCTCAGAGAACCGGGGGATCCAGGAGAACCAGGGGAGTTCGGGACAACCGGGAGAACCGGGAGGGTTTGGGAGAATCGGGAGAACGGGAGAGGCCCGGGAGAACCGGGGGGAGCTGGGAGAACCGGGGGATCCAAGAGAATTGGGGAGCCGGGAGAACCGGGAGGGTTTGGGAGAACCGGGGTGGGCCCAGGAGAACCGGGGGATCCGGGAGAACCGAGGGATTTTGGGAGAACCGGGAGAACCGGGGTGGGGCTCGGGAGAACTGGGGAGGCCCGGGAGAACCGAGGGATTTTGGGAGAACCGGGAGAACCGGGGTGGGGCTCGGGAGAACTGGGGAGGCCCGGGAGAACTGGGAGGGTTTGGGAGAACTGGGAGGGTCCAGAAGAACCGGGGGATCCAGGAGAACTGGGAGGGTTTGGGAGAACCGGAGGAGTTCAGGAGAACCGGGGGATCCAGGAGAACCGGGGGATCCAGGAGAACCGGGGGATCCAGGAGAACCGGGGGGATCCATGGGATCCGTGGGATGGGATGAGATGGAACAGGAATGGAACGGGAATGGGGTGGGAGGGGATTTGTGGGATCCGTGGGATGGGATGGGATGGGATGGGACAGGATTGATGGGATCTCTGGGATGGGATTGATGGGACAGGACAGGATTTATGGGATTTATGGGATCTCTGGGATGGGATGGGATGGGATGGGATGGGATGGGTTTTGTGGGATCTCTGGGATGGGATTGATGGGCTCTCTGGGGTGGGATTTATGGAATCTCTGGAGTGTGATTGATGGGATCTCTGGGGTGGGATTGATGGGATCTCTGGAGTGGGATCTCTGGGATCTCTGTGGTGGGATCTCTGGGATCTCTGGGATGGGATTGATGGGCTCTCTGGGCTGGGATTTATGGAATCTCTGGAGTGTGATTGATGGAATCTCTGGAGTGTGATTGATGGGATCTCTGGGCTGGGATTTATGGAATCACTGGGGTGGGATCTCTGGGAACTCTGTGGTGGGATCTCTGGGATCTCTGGGATCTCTGGGGTGGGATCTCTGGGATCTCTGGGATCTCTGGGATCTCTGGGATCTCTGGGATCTCTGGGGTGGGATCTCTG